TTTTAAGAGACGAGGTTTCCCTCTGGCTCAGGGTGGTCTTGAACCTGTGAGGTCAGGCAATCCACCCACCTCAGCCTCCCAAGTGCTAGGGTTACAGGTGTGAGCCACCATGCTTGGCCTACATCAACAATTTTAAACCCCAACAATTTATTTATTTTTATTTTTTTGTTGTTGAGACAGAGTCTCACTTTGTCATCCTCAGTAGAGTGCCATGGCATCACAGCTCACAACAATCTCTAACTCTTGAGCTCAAGCGATCTCTTGCCTCAGCCTCCCAAGTAGCTGGAACTACAGTCGCCCACTACAACACCCAGCTATTTTTAGTTGCAGTTGTCATTGTTGTTTTTAGCTGGCCTGGCCCAGGTTCAAACCCACCAGCCTTGGTGCATGTGGCCCACACCGTAAATACTATGCTACAGGCGCTGAGCCTATACCCCAACAATTTTATAGCTCAATTTTATACTTCTGCTTCAGTAAATCAAATTTTTAATTAAAACATCAATTTTTACTTATCTTTTCCCTCTTGTAGAATATTTAATCTAAGTCATGTTATAAAGTTTGCTAGATTAAAATACATCTGAAACATTTCCTTTATTAAGAAGAAACTTAATAGATTCTAGATTTCCAAAATTTATAAATTTGTTTGCTTACACATATATTAATACAGATTCATACCTGGCACCTTCAATATCTCCTCCATTACAATAAGCAGCAATCAACCTCTGGTATGTCACCTGTCAATAAAATGGGCCAGTTAGTATTTTTTTTTAATTTTTTTTCTGGGTTCAAAATAAAATATGCTAGATATAACCAAAAAGTTCACAATAGCCCAATACCCACTCGATTTGGTTGAATGTTTGCTTCCTCCATTTTTGCCAGGAAATCAGTAGGTGAGAATTTATGTTCGTTTTGAAGGTAGACTTTTAGTAAAGCATTGTAGTGACTCACATCATACACTGTACCTACAAATGAAATTTAAATCAAGTTTTTAGGAAAGTATTTAAAACCATATCCCTTATCACAACTGGTATCACATGTACCTAAATTTAAGAAACAAAAAGTAGGGAGACGCCTGTGGCTCAGTGAGTAGGGTGCTGGCCCCATATACCGAGGGTGGCGGGTTCAAACCCGTCCCGGCCAAACTGCAACAAAAAAGAGCCAGGCATTGTAGGGGTGCCTGTAGTCCCAGCTACTCGGAAGGCTGAGGCAAGAGAATCACTTAACCCTAAGAGTTGGAGGTTGCTGTGAGCTGTGATGCCACTGCACTCTGCCCAGGGCAACAGCTTGAGACTCTGACTCAAAAAAAATTAAAAAAAAAAAAAAAAAAGGAAACAAAAAGTAAAAGTATCATGTTACCATTTATCTTAACCCTTAGACTCATTTATATATAATAGACATCCTGTAAGAACAGAACAAGCTAAGCATATGAGACATTAATCACTGAATGTAAAGTTACAACTGTAAATGCCTATTCAGATACCAAAAGGTCTTATGAAGCATAATATCCTCTTCCTATTAGAAAATGCTGACAATATGCTTAAAAGTGACTGAAAATGACTAAAAGATTTTTCTATATAAAGTAGTCCTTGCCATGTTACAGACGCATTCTGATGGATGAACTGTGACTGCAGATCTTTTAGGCTTCTAAGTAGAACTATGTTGGCTATTTTGCTTATTTACTTATCAGGACACTCAAAGCCTTTGTCTGAAGGACCAGTTTGATTTTTAGTTGCTCTACATCATTTCTGGTGTGCTTTCATTAACTCTACTGCTCTTTGTTTTCTGTGTCCATATTGCCTAGAGCCTCATAAATTAAGGTTATCACTTGGCCTTAATCTACCTACCCAATCACGATATCATGGTCATCTTATTAATTTAGTGGTAATATGTTTCAGTAAATTTGCAGAACTTAATTTTGTATCTTTAATCAACTGCCTGTGGCCACTCAGGCCTACGGTCAGTATCTGGTGTTAGATTATAAGATTCCAGGTGGCAGGGTGGCGCCAATGGGTAGGGCACCAGCCACAGGCCACATACTCCAAGGCTGGCAGGTTCAAACCCCACCCAGGCCAGCTAAACAACAATGACAACTGCAACAAAAAAATAGCCAGGCGTTGTGGTGGGCACCTGTAGTCCCAACTTCTTGGGAGACCGAGGCAAGAGAATCTTTTAAGCTCAAGAGTTTGAGGTTGCTATGAGCTCTGACACCACGACACTCTACTGAAGGTGACGTAGTGAGACTCTGTCTCAAAAAAAAAAAAAAAAGATTCTAGGTGGCAGAAATCTGTTCTATTAATACTTGTTTGGCTAGGCATAGTGGCTGATGCATATAGTCCTAGAACTTTTAAGAGGTTAAGGCGGGAGAATTCCTTGAGGCCAGAGAGTTCAAACCCAACCTGAAATTGAACGAGGCCCTGTCTCTACAAGCAAGTGGAAAAAAACTAGCCAGTCATGGTGTGTGCTTATGGGCCCAGCTACTTGGGAGGCTGAGGTAAGAGGATCGCTTAAACCCAAGAGTTTGAGGTTGCTATGAGATGCCACGGCACTCTACCTAGGGTGATAGAGTAATACTCTGTCTCAAAAAAAAAAAAAAGAAACCACTGAAAAATTTATGAGAAGCATCCAACTATGAATAAGATGTGATCACCAACCTCCAAGAGTAGAATATCTAACAAAAAGACAAACACAACTCTAATACAAGGCAAGTGATGGTACAGAACGGGAAGAAGACACTAATTTGAATTAGAGGTAAAACTCTAGAATGAAGGGCTTAAACCAGGGCTTAAAAAATGGATTTAATCAAAGAGTTAGAGGCTGGGCATGGTGGCTCAGCCTGTAATCCTAGGACTTTGGGAGGCTGAGGCAGGAGGATTGCTTGAAGCCAGAAGTTTGTGACCAGCCTTAGCAAAAGCTACCAGCCTGGGTAAGAGCAAGATCTCACCTCTACAATAAAAAGAAAAATGGCTGGGTGCGGTGGCTCACATCTGTAATCCTAACACTCTGGGAGGCCGAGGCAGGTGGACTGCCTGAGCTCAGGAGTTCAGAGACCAGCCTGAGCAAGAAAAACTAGTCGGGCATTGTGGTGGGTGCCTGTACCCCCAGCTACTTGGGAGGCTAAGGCAAGACCATTAGAGCTCAGGAGCTTGAGGTTGCTGAGAGCAATGACGCCATCGAATCCTACCCAGGGCAACAGAGTGAAACTCTGTCTCAAAAAAGAAAAGAAAAATTAGCTGGGTGTGGTGGCATGTACCTATAGTCCCAGCTACTCAGAAGGCTGAGGCAGAAGAATCACTTAAGCCCAATAGCCCAGGAGTTTAAGGATGCAGGGAGCCAAGATTATATATACTACTGCACTCTAGAGAAGAAAGGAGAGAAGGGAGGGCAGAGGAGGGACGAAGAAGGGGAAGGAAGAAGGGAGAGAAGACAAGAGAAGAAAAAGGAAAGGAAAAAGATCCCTCACTCATTAGTCTCTGAAGAATCATACTGGCAATCCAATAGGCCTCTGAAATATCAATTCAACAAGTGCCATTATACACAAAGTATCATGCCTGCTCCTGGCAAAGAGGAAAATAAGTTATGGATTCCACCCTCAGGAAGGACACAGTTACGTTATTATTACTGTGATTTTTATATTTTATAATACAATCTTTTTAAAAAATATTTCTCCTGGTTCAGCATGTGTTTAATAGCATGACTTATAGACAGAGAAATTTCTAATATTCATACTCAATATTTTCTCTTCATTTTTCTGCTTTTATACTTTTTTTTTTTT